ATGATACTGTATGAACTGTATTCTGGGATATGGTGGGAAAGTTTTAAAAGTCCTTGTCACCCCATCTTTGGGGTTCAAAATTCCTCTTTGAACCTGTTGCGCAATAAACTTTGGTCTACAGCTATTTGCTCCGGTTGGTGGCTGGACTCCTTCCTTTATTCCACAGGGACCCGTGGGCTCTGCCCGACCAGCTGGGGGACTGAGCAGCAAATCAGTCTCTTAAGTTTAAGCCAAGAAAGAGCATTCTCTATAAGATTGAATATCAATATACATATCAAGACTTTGAGATTAGACCACTGAAGAAGCCCGGAAAACTATCTTGGGAGTGTGCTACCTGCAAGCCCCAGTTAAAGGGCCCCATCTAGGGCAAACAGCGGCCTATTGATTATTTGGACTGCCAGGGAGAAACAGGTGCAAAACGCCGGCACCCTGTCTCTACAACTCTACTAGCATCTCTCGGTATTGTGAATATCACTGAACTTACCTTTTGTTGGTATCTTCATGAACTTACCTAATAGACTGAGTGAAGCATTTGAAAAAAATCTATTGAAACCAGACATTATAAGTTCATTTTAGGCTGGGTAGTTCACTTTGTTTAATGTTTTGTATTTTTCTCAGAAGGTTGATAAAGTAAGCATAGCCATCATGGCTACTTACCTCTTCCAAGCCCCGGGCTGCAGATGAAACCCTCGCGAAAGGAAACAGGTATGAGAGGACTTCCAGCTAATGAGCCTCCTCTTCCACACAGCTAGGCCTTGGCTCATTTTGAGTGGGGCCAGCTGCGAGTCATTCCCTTAGCATTTGCAGGAATTGCTGGGAGTGCCTCAAACATTGCAGAGCAGGTGTGTAGCTTTAAAGAGAACTGTATTCCCCTCACAGAACTACAATTCTCTGGAGAGAGATGATGGTGATGATTAATTAAATTACCGTACTTATACAATCTTTTTAGACTTCCATCTGCACCTCTGATAATCCACCGTTTTATCCACTTCTTATACATTTCTTAACTTTATATTGCCTTTAAGTCTCTTAACAAATTATCCTTTCCTTTATCCATTTTGCAATACTTCCAATAATATTCCTCACAGAACTTCTTGTAAACCTACAAACATCGTCTGGTCTTCACAAATACTTTTCAAATAGTCCGTAAATTTACTCCAGTCTTCGGTGAATTTCTGGTCCCACCAGTTTCAAATTCTTCCTGTTAATTTATCTAATTCTGCATAGTCCATTAACTTCATCCTCCATTCTTCAATCGTCAGTAATTCTTCTTGCTTCTATTTTTGGGCCAATTCTTGCTGCTGTTATTGCATATAAAAAGAACTTACATTCATTTCTATTTATATCACTCCCAACAATACCCAATAGAAATGCTTCTGGTTTCTTTATAAATGTATATTTCAACATTTTTTTCAACTCATTATATATCATCTCCCAGAAGCATTTCACCTTTTTGCATTCCCACCACATGTGATAAAATGTTCCCTCTTTTTCTTTGCATTTCCAACATTTGTTACTGACTTTATACATTTTCGCTAATTTGACAGGTGTAATATACCATCTATACATCATTAATTGATTAATTGAATTTATATAATGGCCAATACCTGCAGGTTTAATAGATAGACTGCTAAACCATTCTTTTATTATATATATAATTCTTAAATTATTTTTCAACGTATTATTTTCAACAATAATTAACCGTACTTTCATATCTTATACCATTTTTTTTTACTTCCATCAATCACATCTGAAAATTTTCCAATCTATTCACTTAATATACATTTCTTACTTCCACCATTACATTTAAATCTCATAACTAATATTTCTATTCTTTCTCTACTTTGCAATGTTTCATATATTTCTCCTTACAAAACTTCTTGTAGTCCTACTAGCGTAATTTGTTGATTGCAGTTGCTCTTCAAATAGTTCGTATATTTCTTCCAATCTTCTGTGAATCTCTGGTCTCGCAGGTTTCAAATCCTGCCTGTCATTTTATCTAATTCTGCGTAGTCCATTAATTTTGTCTGCCATTCTTCTTTCATCGGAATTTCTTCTTGCTTCCATTTCTGGGCTAACAATACTCTTGCCACTGTTGTTGCATATAAAAACAATTTAACATCTTGCCAATTAATATCCTCACCTATAATACCAAGTAAAAATGCTTCTGTTTTTTTTTAAAAAAATGTATATTTCAACATCTTTTTCATCTCAGACTGCTAAACCATTCTATAATTGGGTGGGGGAGCTCCTAACAACTCTCAGCACCCTTGAACTACTTTGTCGTTTCATGGCGATTTAAATGGTCCTTCCTTGGAGGTTTTTAAGAAGAGTTTGAATGGCCACCTGTCCATCTGCATTGCAGGGGGTTGGACTAGATGACCCTCGGGGGTGCCCCTTCCAACTATGATTCTGTGGGGTGAATGTGGTCATGGTTAGGACTCCATCTAAACTTCATGACAGCTTCAACTTTGTTGCAGCTTAATAGGGTGGTGAATTTGTCACATATTCTACTCAATATTGATCCAGAGCAGAACCTCAATGTATAGTTAGCAGAGTAAAAACTTAAATTCTTGGTCTCCTAGCTCCTAGGCTGACTCTCTAAGCACTATACCACACAGTCTCCGCAATTCTCCCAGGGGGAATAGGTATCTCCTAACCACTCTTGGCACCCGTAACAGACTACAGCATCTATGGTTTTTGGTGTGTGTGTTTGCTGTAAAAATGGTGTTCACATAGTGCTCCAAAGAGGAACAACACCTTAAAGGTAAAGGGACCCCTGACCATTAGGTCCAGTCATGGCCGACTCTGGGGTTGCGGCGCTCATCTTGCTTTATTGGCTCAAGGAGCCGGGGTACAGCTTCCGGGTCATGTGGCCAGCATGACTAAGCCGCTTCTGGCGAACCAGAGCAGCGCACAGAAACGCTGTTTACCTTCCCGCTGGAGTGGTACCTATTTATCTACTTGCACTTTGACGTGCTTTTGAACTGCCAGGTTGGCAGGAGCAGGGACCGAGCAACGGGAGCTCACCCCGTTGCAGGGATTTGAACTGCCCTAGGCTCTGTGGTTTAACCCACAGCGTCACCCGCATCCTTATTGCCACAAATGACCAAATTCTCCCCACCAGAGGCTTTTGATCCATGCAAGCCTGAAGCAGTTCTCTCCTTGCAGCAGTTGGTGGTTTGCATAACCCAGCCAGGAGGCCTGTGGCACCATTCACATAACAAAAACTACCATAGATACTAACATTTTGAAAAGTGAGGGGGGGCGGTCCATGACTTGGCTTTCGAAAAACGGGGGGGGGTTTGCAATACTTGACTACTAGGGAACCATTGCCCTACAGGAATTACTAGAAAACTGAATGTAGCAACCCAGGTGTTTTGCCTAATTAATGCTGCGTGGTAATTATCTCACTGCAGGAAGTGAAGTTACAGGGAACCAGGAAGAGGGCCTTCTTGGTAGTGGCACCCGCCCTGTGGAATGCCCTCCCAACAGATGTCAAGATGATAAATAACTATCTGACTTTAAGAAGACATCTGAAGGCAGCCCTCTATCTGGAAGCTTTTAATGTTTGACAGACTATTGTATTTTAATATTTTGCTGGAAGCCGCCCAGAGTGCCTGGGGAAACCCAGCCAGATGGGTGGGGTATAAATACTGTATTTTTTGCTCTATAAGACTCACTTTTCCCCTCCTAAAAGGTAAGGGGAAATGTGTGTGCGTCTTATGGAGCAAATGCCGCCTGCGCAGCTATCCCAGAAGCCAGAACAGCAAGAGGGATTGCTGCTTTCACTGCGCAGAGATCCCTCTTGCTGTTCTGGCTTCTGAGATTCAGATTCCGCCCCCCCCCCCCCGTTTTCCTCCTCCAAAAACTAGGTGCGTCTTGTGGTCTGGTGCGTCTTACAGAGCGAAAAATACGGTAATAAAATTATTATTATGAGTGTTCTGGGCCATGATATCGGAATATGTTGAATCTTATTCATCACAAAAGGGCCTGGTCTAAAGCATTAAATTCTTTGGATGGCAGTGAAGTTAAGGAAGTAGTGGAAGAAAGTAAGAGGCCTCATTTACGAGAGGAGAACAAACAATTTAAGGAAGATGAAGTGTGGGTGAAGGCGGTACCCCAGACAAACCACCAACAACTGTTGTAAAGGCGTGAGCCGGTGTCAGTTCAGGGAAAATTGCCTTGCAGCATGCTGAGGATTGTAAACCGGAATGATAAAAGTGTAATTTGAAAAGCCAAATAAATAATATATTTTTTTTAAAAAAGTAAACTGGACTGATGAATCTGCCTGTTTATTAGGATAAAATTTATTCATAACCACCTTTTTAAAACAACTAGGACATCTCCCAGGCCTTGCCTTTTAAACTTTGCACGAATATATCATTCACATAATCTTCTAGAACCTATGAAATGTACAAGGAACAAGCAGCAGAAGAGAGAAAAGCTATATCTTGATTGCAGGCAATTTAAGTGAAACCATTCCTTGACCTTCGTACCGATTACTGGACTTCTTCAGAGGAAAAATACATATATTCCCCCCATTGAAAGAGTTCTGGTTATTTAGAGGTTAGCTTAGGGCAGGTGAGCTTGATAAAAGTGTTTTTTAAAAAATAAAATATGCTAACCCACCATTCCTCTTCTTAAATTTTAAAACTTGGGCTTCAACAATGCAACACGCTCCCCACCCCCCCCCCAATATAAAGGCTGAAAATCATGTTGCTACACCGGGACTGCCTGGCAGGATCAGATGTGGATGACATCTTAAATACGGCGATGATGATGTAGAAGTTGCAGCATAAGCAGTAGTGGCAGCAGTACATAGCACCATCTTTGTATATGGCACCCTACAAAGGACACGCACAGATTCCAGGCTGCCTGTTGTAAGTCAGGTGTGCCTCCATTTATCTGGTCCTGGAGCCTGGGCCGTGATAAGTCAAGAGGACCTCCAAGGAGTTGGCCCTGGGGTCTGTGCTCTGGAAAGGCAGGAGCTTCTCCAGCTATTGAGTCCTGGGGTCTGGGCCGTGATAAGTCAAGAGGACCTTCAAGTAGTTGGCCCTGGGGTCTGTACTCTGGAAAGGCAGGAGCTTCTACAGCTATTGGGTCCTGGGGTCTGGGCCTTGATAGGTCAAGAGGACCTCCAAGGAGTTGGTCCTGGGCTCTGTACTCTGAAAAGGCAGGAGCTTCTACAGCTATTGGGTCCTGGGGTCTGGGCCTTGATAAGTCAAGAGGACCTCCAAGGAGTTGGCCCTGGGCTCTGTACTCTGGAAAGGCAGGAGCTTCTACAGCTATTGGGTCCTGGGGTCTGGGCCGCGATATGCCCATGGCCCTCTCACTTATCTGGCCCTCGGATTTGCGCTGCAATGAACCCAGGGCCACCTGGCCCCCCAATCTGCGTTGTGTTAAGTCCAGGGCCCCTGCGGCTCTCTGGGGATTGTGCTGTGATAAGTCCAGCACCGCCCCAGCTCTCTGGCCCCAGGGTGGAAACCGCCAAAAGGCCGGGACCCGGGACTGACGCCAAGATGGTCTGCACCAAAATCCGGCCTGGTCCCCTTCCTCTTCCTCAGATTTGGACTGCGATAAGGGCAGGGACTCTTTCTGTACAGCCCTGCTGCGGCAAACCGTCACCTCCCCCAGGGAAAAAATTCCATGGGTTTGGATGCCGGACACCACCCCTTCTCCCGTTTTTGTCCCTCTGTCGGCTTCCTTTCCCCCCTCATAACCATTCTGCGGCCTTTCTTGGCGGCTACTTAGAAACGTCTCCCAGTCCCACTCCATGTCATCACCCCCCAGAATCTGTTGGTGGCTTTCCTCTTGCGCAAAGGGGCCTTGTCCCGGAAGGAGTTTGATTGATTTTGTGGGAGGCATCAGGCCTCGGCCCAACCCCGGGGACCAGCGAGCAAGACCGTCGCTCTCCGCAGCTTCTGAGCTGCTGTCTTGCTCCTCTTCTTTGTCTTCGTCTTCCCCTGGGGCCTCCTCCGGATGAAACCGCTTAAGTCCCGTCTTCAGCTGGGCTGGAAGCTAGAAAGTGAGGGGAAAGGGAGATATTATAGAACAACATCAAATGGGGAATAGAGAGGAGGAGGCTAAGAGATGACGGCAGTTACCAGAGGAAGAAGGGAATGGACCAGGAAGGAGGGATGAAAAAAAAGGAGTGTTTTGTAGGAAAGGAGAAGAGGAGGAGAAATTGCAGGAGACTGATAAAAAACAGCACTTTTTTTTCTAGAAAAAGAGGTGTTGGAACTCGCCACAAAAACATCCCTCCTTCTCTTAGAAGGGCAACAGTGCCCACCTGAGAGGTGCCAGAACTGAGTTCCAAAGCCCTGATAAAACTACTTTTTTGAGAGGCATGTGGAGGAAGGGAGGGGGAAAAATATAAAAAGGAAAAGCCTCCTCTGCTTATTAGCCTTTCAGAACAGCAAACTCTGCCGAAAATGGGGAGGGTCACAAGAAAATCGCCAGGTTTCATCTTCTTCCCATCAACTATGGTGGGAATGCCTGCTTGCTGCAACTCCAAAGAGAATAATTTCCTCAATGCATTTCATATATAACAGGCACTGCAACAAGGCCTACTACTGTTCTGTCAATTTTCATAGAAATCGTAGAACTGCAGAGTTGGAAGGGAACCCAATGGTCATCTAGTCCAACCCCCTGCAATGCAGGAATCAGAGCTAATGTCTCTGGAAACGAGTTATATGATAACAACAAATCAGAAAGATACTGGCTTGTATAGTTTATACAGTGGTACCTCTGGTTATGTACTTAATTCGCTCTGAAGGTCCGTTCTTAACCTGAGGTACCACTTTAGCTAATGGGGCCTCCTGCTGCCGCCGTGCGATTTCTGTTCTCATCCTGAGGTAAAGTTCTCAACCCGAGGTACTACTTCTGGGTTAGCAGAGTCTGTAACCCAAAGCATTTGTAACCCAAAGCGTTTGTAACCCGAGGTACCACTGTATATGTGTTTATCCCGTTTTGTTTGTTTGTTTATAAATCAAGTCTTTTCTTGAAGACAACAGGGGGCTTTGAACTGGGCTTACTTTTCTGGGTAAGCAATCTTTGGAAAACGCTGAGGGACTCCGCATGGTATCACGCAAGGAACTCACACGCGCCTCCCGTAACACCTGCAACAGTGAAGAAGAGATGTTTTAAGGCAGAGCATTAGGGCTGAACCCCATCTAGCCCTCCACCCCCCACAGTAAGAAGTCTTATTGGCACCTGGATGATATCACGGGTCATATTTGGCCACATCCCGGGGTGGGAAAATCTGGGGTTTTGATCCGCCATGGGTTGCCTCAGACAAACAGTGCAGCACTATGGGAAACGAAAAGAAATGCAAGGGATCAAGACTGGATAGCAGGACATAATAATAATACCTTTATTGTCAATGTACAACCTGTGTACAATGAAATTAACTGAGCCTCCCTCCTCCCCACCCACAAACACTCAGTCTCATTGCTCTCTGTGTGCTTGTTGCACAACACACCAACCCTGAACGTCAGTTGCACTGTATTATTTTCCGTTCAGCAGCCTAACAGCCCACGGATAGAAGCTGTTTTTTAGCCTGTTGGTACGGCTGATTATACTTCTATATCTCCTGCCCGAGGGTAGAAGATTAAAGAGGTGCTGGCCGGGGTGTGAATCATCCCTGAGAATTTTTCTCACTCTCCTAAGGCAATGATCCCTTGCGATGTCATCTAGCAGGTTCACCACCCTCTGTAAAGACTTTCTGTCTGTGGCTGTCAAGCCAACGTACCACACTGTGGTGCAATATGAGAGGACACTTTCTATTTTCTCAGCTTAGGACAGCTCGTTATATAGTGAATGGAGAGCCCTGTTCAATAATGTTTGTACCATTAAATTGACATATAAACTATGGGACAAGGATAACTGTGACTTTAAAGAGGAATGGGAACCTTTTACACAGTACCTAAAGACGCAACAAAGTGAATTGGACTCTTTGGCAGGTGTTGAATAAACACTCACAAACTTTTTATTGATAATAATTAGTTAGATAAATTAAGGATTTATACAATTCTGTAACATGCATAGAATAGCATTTATAGAGAAACCAGAGATTGGAACTGAGGGAAGTCAGGGGTGAGGGGGGTTGTTTGTGGGAGGGAGGGGGGAAAATGAGGGGAAAAATTAAGGATGATATGTTTTAAGATAATATGTTTTGTTGAATTACCTAATAAAAATTATAATAATAATAACGTTCATAGCATTATTTACTAAGATAGAAACTGCTTGGCTCCAAAAGAGACTTCTAGCCCGGGGGGACAACCAGTTGCAGGAACTGAGGGCGACAGCAATTCTCTCCTCTTGAGATTCCAAGCAATTGGCGTTCGGTGGCAAGGCTGCCTCTGAACAGAAGAAAGCCATGATGACTAGCAGCTTAGGGACATAAGAAGAACCAGGCAGGATCAGGCCAAAGGCCCAACTTCCAATTTTCAACAGGGACCAAGTTGGCGGCCATCACCTCCCCTCCCCAGCCCCCGAAACAACTATTTAAAACCTTCAAAAAGTAATTAAAACCAAGGGCAAGCAATGGCCAGAGAAGCTTGTTTAAAGCAATTGGGCCCCGCTCCCAGGTGGCAAAATGGGTCAGTGGGTTTGGCTTTTAACACACCCAAGGACGGCTGTGGGCAGGATTCCTGCACTGCAGGGGGTTGGACTAGATGACCCTTGATGTCCCTTGCAACTGTACCAATTCTATGAGAGGTCTCTTCCCTCATCTGTCCCCATCCTGTCTCTCCACCCTTGCCCCTTTTCTCACCTAAAAAGCCAGAAAGGTTGTATCTTTCCTCAGAGTTCCTTTTGAGGGCCCTTCCAACTCTTGCAGTCCTTGGAGACCAGGGTTCAAATCCCTGCTTGGCCATGACTGTTGGGTCAGTGACTACCTGGCAGCCTAGTCCACCTCACAGGGTTGTTGTGAGAATTAACTGGGGGCTGGGGCTATGTACGCCACCTTGGGGACCAAGATGGGATATAAATGAAAGGAAAGTAAATAAAGAATTAAAAACCCCTTATAAGTATCATAAATTCCCTAAGATGGATGGATCAAGAGTGGGGGAAATCTTCAGTCTGAGATGAAAGCTGAACCGCATTGTAACGTCTCCACCTCCATCGTTCAGCCTGAACACTGAGCTCCAGCGCCGAGGGCCTTCTGGCAGTTCCCTCATTGCGAGAAGCCAAGTTACAGGGAACCAGGCAGAAGGCCTTCTCAGTAGTGGCACCCGCCCTGTGGAACACCCTGCCTTCAGATGTGAATGAAATAAGCAGCTATCTTCTCTTTAAAAGACATCTGAAGGCAGCCCTGTTCAGGGAAGTTTTTAATATTTAATGCTGTATTGTTTTTAACGCTTGATTGGAAGCCGCCCAGAGTGGCTGGGGAAACTCAGCCAGATGGGCTGGGTATAAATAATAAATTATTATTATTATAACAAAATGCGGGCAAGTGGAGAGATCCATTTAAGTCTACACCAGATGTGGGGAACCTGTGGCCCTGCCAAAGCCCGTCTTCCACTTTATCATCCAGGTTCATTGGCTGGGGCTGATGGGAGTTGGAGAGTCCTGAAACATCTCAAGGGTCATAGGTTCCTGTGCAGTTTTACACACTTCTATTCATGCCCACCCCAGTTGCTTCTTTCCTTGGGAGAGGAGACATTGGTCACACCCACACCAGCCAATTAAAGCACATGGGCTTCCCCCAAAGGATCCTGGGAATTGCATGAGGAAGGGCTGTACCTCAGCCGGAGAGTATCTGCTTTGCATGCAGAAGGCTCCCCACCTGAAACTTTGGAGACAAAGCCTTCTAGACAACACTGAGCCTACATGGACCAATGCTTTGACTCAATATGAGACAGCTTACTACCTTCCTAGTTTACCCCTCAGAGCTACAGTCCTTGGACCTGTGAACTACATCTCCCAGGATTCTTTGGGGCAATCCATACGCTTTTAATATATGGTGTAGGTGGAGCCATTTTTTATTTTTCCCTTGCCCTTGGGATGCACCCATGCTGGGGTTTGGGAATTGCAAACACTTGTGAGAGTCCTGCTCTGTAACCACTGTTTAGGATTCCACTTTTGGAATAAGCACGTCGCTTCTGGAAACCATGCAGCAAAAGTGAGGGTTTCAAACCTAATCAACGCAGTGGGATGGTGTTGTAATTGAGAAGGGGCCTTGCTCCTGCAAACCGTTGAGGTGTGTTGCAATCCCCTTTGATTATAGACAATCACCATCGCTGCCACCACCTTTGTGGTGACAAAGATTTGTCTGCAGTCACAGTCAAAGGCGATTGCAATGCCCTTCTCCGGTTTCCTGGAGATTCCCCAGCAGTTTTCAATGGGCAACTGTGCCTTAAACTATTTGGGAATCTGGTTCCCAAGCCAAAGGGGGAGGGGACACTCCCCCTAAGCCAAGCTGAGAAAATTGTCAAATGTTTTGTGAGGGGGGGCACTTTGGACCCACATTTATTAAACTCCTGCTCCTCTCCATCCATTTCAACCACGCCGCAAAAGTGAGGAAGAGGGATTAAAAAAAACTCCACGCAAGGATTTTGCACCCGAATCCGCAGCTGAGAGTGGGATCTACTTTTCCGACCAGGCCTTCTTCTAAAATAAAAGCAGTGAGGCGCCTTGCACGGTCGTTTGACTGTGTCGATGCCCAATTTTCTCTTGCAACGCGCGCGCGCCTTGGTTAAAGGAACTTGCCTCTGGGAATTTATTCCCCAACGGGAGCTTTCAAGCGCACGTGTTTTCTCCAGTCGCCGAGGCTTTAAATCTCTGCCTCGCTTTTGCAACGTGGTTGAACTTTCCGGGGAATCGGTGCGCGTGCCCAAAAAAGCTAGGAAAAGTTGGGACACCAAAACGCCTGGTTAATGAAACCTGCAAGTGAGATCAGGATTCTTCTGCGAGGTGCGCCCTTTGCTTTAGAATCCACCCTTTTGGCGCAAAAGCAATAAAAATAGGTCTAGCCTGTAAGAAGACCCTCATGCCACTGTTGTTGCACGGAGTCTCCCAAAATATATATAATATAAATATATACATTTACAAAATATGCAGATTTACGTCTCTGGCTTTATTACAGAAGAGACACACAACCCTCACACCTCCAATTTCTGCTTTTCTCTGGAGGAGCTTACAAAAAAAAAAAATCCCCTCTCTTGAACTCACCTAAGGTCTTCCGGCGAGAGGATCCAGAAGCAGCTGCGTCCGTGGGGAAAAAGAGAGATCCGGAAGCGGGAATTTTTAAAAAAGCAGCTGGTTGCGACGTCGTTTCCGGAATAGGAGCCCCATTGGAACAGAAACCCAACCTGGAGATCTTGTGTTCCCAAGCTTACTCTCTGGAAGGGGGTTGCTCAATTTCCTCCCAAAAGCTTCCGATTTGAGGAAGGGGGGGTTCCTTTAGGATTGGCAAAGCTTGCTGGGAATGGTGGTTCCAACCAACACCCGCTGTGTTTTGGGTAGGAATTTAGGCATGAAAAAGAAAAAAATAACAGGTGAAAAGTTTTGGGTTTTTTCCGCCCCCCCCCAGCAAAGGGGAATCTTCAGCTCTCCCCAGCTCTCTTTGTCCCTAACCCTTGGTCATGGGGGGCTGATGGGGGTTGGAGTCCAGCCATTTCTGGACTTCCAGAGAGACATTGTTCCCACCATCTTAATGATTAACTTTTTAGGATGAGGTGAACAGAGGTGTACATGCACCTATATTATACTTTTCGTGACTCTATGCATTCAATGCACACTTTCCCCTAATGCTCGTTTTAAACCTTTTTGCTTGGATACACCATCAGAAATATCAGGAAGTGCAAATTTTACCCTGTGCAGGAGACTATTTGTCACACGTGGCGACTGCAGCTTGGAATGTGGGGAAAGGGTGGTGGAAAGGAATAGGATTGGGGGGTTGGATTAGATGACCCTCTGGGTCCCTTCCAACCGCACAAGTGCATGGTTCACAAAGGGGCAACCAAAATGACTGAAGTGGGTGGAGGAACTCCCCTGACTGAGCTGGCAGAGGTGGTCTCTGGCATGGTTTTGGAGGAACGTAGTCATTCTGAGTTTGCCACTGAGCCCAGTTGAGAGTTCATGGCTTCCATGGCAATCATTGGGCTTACTTAAATTGTCATTATACCAGGCACATCACAACTGGAAGGGCACAACCTTGAATTCAAGATTGGGTTGCTGGAATGCACTCAGGTCTTTATTGAGATATTTAGTAATCCACTGAGTAGGTCTGTTTACAATTGTGT